CCCTCTACCACCGTTCTCTCCACCATATTTTTTGGATTAGGAACATTTATCTTACAAATCTGAGAATTGTAGAAAAACTGTCCATGATTCCCTATAATTTTAACTATTGAAAATAAATGGTTGTTTGATACTTTGGACATTAATTTGTTACTCGCGTGATGCCGTTTTGGTGGCGGAGTTCGTGAAAATGTAAAAAAAAATTGACACAGCGATGAAGGAAGAGGAAGAAGATGAACCAGGTCGCGACATTTACCGACGGATTTACCGAAGGCCTAGATCCTTCGGTAATTACCGAAGGCTTTACCGACGGCCAAAAGCCTTCGGTAATTACCGACGGACGAAAGATCCGTCGGTAAAGTTTACCGACAACGTTTTTACCGACGGTATATTGGCCGTCGGTAAGCCGTCGGTAAATGCTAATTACCGACGGATTTTATACATTACCGACGACTTATGACCGTCGGTAATCTCAATCATTCTTGTAGTGACGTGATAATTGGCCGGATCAGATAATCCTTTTGACAATTCTAAGAAAAATAATGTAAAGAGGTCATAATATAATAAGATAATTCAGTAATAAAGCTAAAACAAGAATAAATTTGGAATTTTAAAATTTACAAGGTGCAAATTGAAACGGTGGGGTGCAGAAAGAAGTGCCCTTTTAAATCTTAAACAAGCATTAACGAAGTCCACCTTGCCAACCAAAGACTTAACACACTCTTGAGAGAATAAATCACACTTCACGACCTGAACAAAGTTATCCTATTCATATAGAGTCGTATCAAAAGAATATAAGATTAAAACGAAGGATTCTCACCAATTAACAACAACTAAATTTAGTTGGTTCGACAACCTTAAGAATTCACACATAGAATCCACATTTAACTTCTTAGACTTAACAATCTTATAGTTCATCAATTTTGCTTTCTTCCTAACTATAATAACTCATCCCTCACACCATTTTGCATCATCTGAAATCATTTTTCTCACTCCAATAACAGCCAAAAACTTGCAGAATGGCCTCAGAAAATGCAGAAAAACTAGACATCAGTTTCAACACTGCGTCTGATACCAAACAACAGAAGAAGGAATGGATCAATTTGTCCCTTAGGGCTCTCTCATTCTTTGCCACAGCATCTGCTACATTCATTATGGCACTCAACAAACAAACCAAAAGCTTGGTAGTGGCCACCATTGGCACAAACCCACTAACAATCACTCTCACTGCTAAGTTTCTCCACACTCCAGCATTCGTGTAATTAGTTCTACAAATCATCGTTTCAATTTTCCTCTATCCGTTTATAATTTTCTTGACATAGGTACTATGTCTTCCTTATTGTGCTGCAGATTCTTCGTGATGGTGAATGGAATCGTCAGTCTCTATAATTTGGTGGTGATAGCAGTGGATATATTAGGACCACAATATGATTACAAAGGACTTCGTCTTGGACTAACTGCAATTTTAGACGTGGTATATATACTTAAATTTTAATCAGACACCTTCAAATTTGTCTGCATATTTTTTTCACTTGAATGAAGAATCTAACTAGAATCTATTGCCAACATGAAATTCTGAATTTGTTTATATATCAAGAGTTGTATGACTAAACACTGTGACATATTTTTGGTGAAGATGGCAGTGGCTCTGGCAGCAAGTGGAGATGGTGCAGCAACTTTCATGGCAGAAATAGGAAGGA